TATTTGTCAAACTGTTCCATCTCTTTCTGGAGAATACATTTGTCTAATTTCGAGGTTCTTCCTTTAAGTTGATTGAAGTTTTGGTATTCTTACTGTTTTGTTGGAGATCAATTGATTGGTTTTTAGTGTTATTGCATTTGATAGTTGTTGTTGTTGTCTTTGAGATGCTGTTACGATTGATGAGAATGTTTTGGATTATGAGCTGGATTCCCCACGTGATATCTCATTGGTTGAAGATTCTGTGAATGCAAATTCAACGGTGGAACATAAAGAATTGGCAAGCACCAGAAAGAAGAAGCAAAAACGGTCAAAATCTTGGCGATTTAGGTTCAAAGGAAAATCACAAGCACACAACTTAAAAGGTAACCATCTAACTCTAAATGAAATGGATCAAGATGAGCAGCCTCTTGTCTCTGACCACAACCGATCTAATCCGAAATTTGTGCATCCACGTAAAGAGATGAAGGTGCCATCAACCATTTATCTCTTTATAAACGGGACCATGCTTGAGATAGACTTTGAAGCCAATCAATATGGGAAAAGGATGCCGTATATTTGGGTTAATCAAGTTTCTCTTGGCGATGTTGTTGAAAAAAAAGGAAAGACTGTGGTTCGAAAACATTAAGCAGAAAATAATAAAGGATTTTCATGGTTAAAGAAGAGTTTTAACTCAAGAGAATCAGTTTACAATGGTTGTGTTCTGCTGGAAATGATTATGGTGGAGTTTGTGGGATGCCAAGAACATGGTAAGGAGCTGTTAATTGATGATGGCCAGAAGATGCAGACAAGTCATGAATCGTTTTTATTTGTTACACTTACCAAAATCAGGGTTTGGGCTCTGAACACCGGACACCTGAGTACTCGTGCTATCATACTTGAGACGACATATGAAATGCAAGGCACAAACCCGTCTCATGTTGGCAGGGACATTCATCTGATGGATCGAGGGACACATATGGAGCTAAGAGAATTTCCAGTAACTTTGGTCATCAAAGAATTTTTGTTGTCACTTATGAGAAATGTAAGTTTCCACTTATGAAGCTGAAAATTTGGACAGGCACCTGTACGGCTTCAAGGAAAATGTTGTTGACATTACTATCCTTGCAATGACTTATTGATTTCAGGAAGGAAATTCTGACAGGGAGCGCTGATTAGTGGACTTAAAATTCCTCTGAAATGGATAACAGCAAGATTACCAATGGCCACAGAAGTAGAGACTACAAGTCCATTTAACCTCTCCGAGGTATGGACCGTATTGTAAGCAATCCTTGCTTTTGCCACCATTTGAAAGCATGCTGAGTTTTGCTCCCCTGTCTGTAGCCAGTTGATCCTAGACCTTTGCTTGAAATATTATTCCCCTTTTCTTCTTAGGAAGTTTAATTTATCCTGAAGTAGTCTTTCATCTTGGAAGTGATCAGTAGTAGCCGTTTTTAGGATATTGGAAACTTCCTTAACTCTTTTCTGAATTTCCGAGAAGATTTCTTTGTTCTGCTTTTTTAATTCCCTTCTCAAATCCTTCTGTTTGAACATAATATCAGATAGACTTTGTAATTCTTTTGAAAGCCAGTAATCGCTGGCATTTGAAACAAAGAACACTCTCTTGTGTTGTTCAAGTTGATGCTGTCAAAGTTAAGACTCTCAAAAGCTTGTTGTAAACTTAGCTTTTGTGTGTAAGTGACTCAAAAACAGATTTGTTCTAGTGGTTTGATTATGTATACCGTAAATAACCGGTTCTATTTTGATCCTTAACCGGGTTGCCTTTCAACAATATCATAGAGTGGAGGAGATTTCGAAAATACACATAGCTAGTGGTTAGATTATGTGTAATGTACAATAACCGGTTAACATTTGATCCTTAACCGGATTTCTCTACTAGAAATTTTGGATATTCTATTTGGTAATCAATGATTGATGTTGGTGAATTTCTCAGAGAATCTCATTCTCTGACAAGATCAAGACACTTGAAGAGGTGTGCAGAAACATTCTGTTTCACTCAACAACACACACACACGCACAATTTTCTCAAATCCTTCTTTTTGAACATACATAATTTTCTCATAAACATTCATGCTCATTTTTTTTTTTTTTTGAATTGAATGTTAAATTTTTATTCAAGTCAAAAGCCTGTTGTACAATAACTGTGTTTGAAATTAAAAGTGACCAAAAAACAGAGCTTTTAACGTTTAAAAGACAGAGAGCATATCTTCATAGTTTGATCCGTTTAGCAAGTAGATAGCCATATGTCCATGGCCTCCGAGTATGTGTGGTCTCCTTTACTACGAATAACATTAATGTGATTACTAATGTTTTTATCAATCTGTTTTACCAAGGAGCTTGTTGTTGAAGCGACTTCACCATGTCTTCGACCATTCCGTTCACGCCATACATGATAAACGACTGACTGGAAAGCATAGCGAAGCAAGAACAATCTGAATTTTGGCCTGGGAGATGTGAGGAGGGTAACAATCGATTCCCAGTCTGTAGTATAGTCCGAGCCGAGGAGTGTGAGTGCGATTTCTCTCCAAATTGCACCCGAGGTAGTGCAGCCAAAGAAGAGATGGTAGCA